TTTTAAATTTATTATATTTAAATACAGATTTTTATAAAGTTATAGAATTTTTAATATTTCAGATTTTTTTATAAGAAATATCTTCAATTTTTAAGTAAAATAAAATATTAGAAAAGTATATAAAGTATAGATTTAAAAGTTAAGAAGAATTAAAAAATAATAATAAGATAAATGAATAAAAAATTAAAAAGCAATAAAATAAGAAAGCTTACATATATGACGTAATTATTAGAGAGAGGAAAGGGGGTCTCAAATATTTCACATCTTTAATTAGCCAATCAGGATAAAGATTCTGATTACATGATCTACATGATATATTGTGATCTTGTATAATAATAATCTAATAATAAATCTAATCTGATACATGTCATCTTAAAAAAAAAACGTACAAATTCAAAAAACGTACAACAAATTTCAATAACAACAATATTTTAATCAATGAATTGGACTTTCTTGAACAATTTATGTATTAGTAGAACATAATGTTTACATGATTTAATGATTTAGCATATCGCAAATTTACTAACTTTTTTTTTGTCACTTAAAAAACCTGCTCTAACTTTTTAATAGTTTCCTTACTTACTATCTGATTGTATTTCCTAATTATATAAGCCTAACACTTGTTCAGCTGACGTAAATACAACTAAAAAATCATTGATAGAATTGGTAAGTAGCTTTTTTGCTTAGCTGGTCATCCTTGTCATTTTGGATATTGATTTTTTTATGTAAGGCAACTATAGAAAAAGTTAAAAGATATGCATTGCAATCAGAATAGCAGAGACAAGTATAAGTGTTTAAATTAATGGAAGGACAGTAGGTATCATATCCAGGTATTTTGAGTTTATCGCAATATTCTAATATATGAAGCAGATTCAAGAAATAATTATTTTTTCCTTTTGTTACAGGTGAAAGGAATCCATTATTTTTCGCAAAAAGGATGGCTGACTCTTCGTGATATTTAGGCAAATAACAAAGTGAATTTTCATATTTTTTAATATTGAGAGAATATTGATACATCTTATTGTGATTTTTAGCCATTGCTAGGGTACAATCGATTCTTCAGTATTTTCTTTGCCACATGCAGGAAATATGATATCTTTGAATGGAAAGCTTTTTTGATCAATATACTGTATTGTAACTGGTTTTCTGAAGATAGGATCACAATCCTAAAGAGCATATAAAGCTTCACTAGTGTAATGCATATTCTTCATTGCAAGCTCTGAGTTAACAATTTGTCCTTAAGAGTTAAGATAGAAATTATGTTTATCAATTAGTAATGTTATTCTAACTAGCTTTTGAGAGAATGTCACCATACTACGCTCAACAGAATTGTATGCTGATTGGCCAGGTATATGCGTTCTAATAGAAAGATAATTAAGATCGAATGTATAGAACATTCTACAATATAGTGTAAATTTTCATTAGAGCCTCCGTCGACTAAAAAAATCCAAATGGGTTTGATCTGACTATTGACTTTTAGTATCCTATCAAAATAACTATTTTTTGTCAATGAATTTAGATCACTCATATGAGAGGTTAAGCTTGTGCCAATTTGATATTACGGACATATAAAAATTGAAAGTTAGCTATTTTGAAAAGAGTTATTTGTATTGTTTAAATTAATGAGTAAGTAGACAAATGAGATAAGTTTTTGCTGCATTCTAATCAGAAAATTATGATCAGGTAATGTAACTGGTTCTTGAAAACTTTGTATTGTTTAAAAAGTTCTTCTGATTGCAGGGATGCCAAGAGGAATTTTGACTTTGTCATCTTAAAAAATAATAACAGAATGGGTTGAAAATAAGGCAGCAAATTGTTTTGCTTCTTTTACAGAAGTAAGACAATAATGCTCATCAGGGTATTCCTTTTTTCATTTTGAGAAACAGACACAATTGTGATATTAGCTAGATAGTAATGAGCCTTTACTACTATAAAATTTGACCGAGATAATAACAGGTAATTATTAAAGGTGATGCAGAAAAGATATTCATTATATTTTAAATTGAGTTCTTCTTGAAGATGACGGATGGTCCTAACTTTAATAACTTTTTTTCTTCTTTTTTTATCTGCAGCTCTGAATTTAATACATTTATGTATATATTCATGTAAATCAGAATATTGAATTAAAAGAGGTGGATGACTAGGTGAATCATATTTTATTATTTCTTGATTTTCTTGTAAAAGTTTTGCTTTTTTTCTCTACTTTTACATTGATAACTTGCTTAACGCTTCAATTTCTTAATTTTATTATCTTCATTATGCAAAATTTCCTTGAGACTTACTATGCATTCTATTAGGTTACATCAAATTTCTAAATCCAATTTCTAAATCATTAGTAGAATTATAAAGATGCTGAAGTTCTGTAAGTTTTATATTAGTTGTATTGATAGTTTCTATGGCTTTTTTTTATGCAGCAGCATTGAGAGGTAGATTAGCATCAATTATAATAATCATTTTTATTGGCTTTTGAATAACTCGAGTAAATTTTGAACTTTAAGACAGGCCAGCTCGTGAATAATTAGTTTGCAAAAAGCTTTAGATTGGAATCAGAGTTACCAAATATTCATGGATTTTATTTTCAATTTCCTTTTGAGGTTTATTCTGAATCTTCTTTCACATATTAGTACATTCTGTATATAGATTAATTTTTAGGTAAACAGAATTTTTGCGTTTACCATACGTTGATAACTGAAAGTATTACAGAACCTCTGGTATTGATTTATGGGAGTTTTATAAATATAAAACTTGTTGTATTTTAGTGTAGTTAGAAAAAACTGCATGCTAAGGTTTTGGATAAAGAAATCAAAAAGTAGTGATCAGAGACGCGATTAGTACTATATTTATAGATGTAATGAATACTAACAATAAGTTACGTATGTCAGTTATGAAAGATACAATGAAATTATAAACTGATACTACAAAAGTAATGTTTTTTATTTATAACATCAATATGAAAACAATATTAATTATAATTCAAGTTTATTATTTTATTAAATTAAACTAATGCTGATTATATAAATGATGATGAACCGCTCAATGATAGCAATAAAGTAAAATGTAAAGGGTTACAAGGTAAATAATCATTTATCTTATTAAATAATTTATGATACTAAAATTTTTTAAGTACAAAACATTGAAGAATCTTTAGTTAAGCGAATATACATTAGTAAAAATTGTATTAATTAATATCATAAAGGTAAATTAACTTTTAACATTAGCAACTTTTAAGTTTATAATAATTAAATTATTCGAAATTCTTAAAAAAACAGCTTAATCTTTTAATAGTATCCTTCAACAATATCTTTTTCTTTATTGTAATTTATTGTAAATTTGAAATGTAATACTTAATAATTATTGGCTGAAATAAAAATTTAACTATCACGTGATATCATAGTCTCACCTAAGAGAAAGGATCAGATCTATAGTAATCTATAATTACGTTATATATGTAAACTCCCTAAATTAACAATTACGTTTTAACAACTATTTGATAAAAAAGTTCTATTAGCTAATCATCTTCTTATAATTATGTATTATTCAAAAAATATAAATGCAGATAAACTTCTATCACTATATTTTTAAATAAAAGCATATAATTTTATTACTGATAGTTTTTATAAATATCAATTATTAAATAAATCAAATGATTCTTTAAAAGATGTAAATAATTAGTTAAAATTAGAAAATAAAAGACTTTATCAATAAACAAAAAAGTTAATTGAAAGGACAAAATCTCTTAGTGTTTAAATAAGACATTTATGCAATAAAAGTTACAACATATTTCAGAAATTCATTCTTTAATTCAAAAATCTTTAATAGTATCAGATACTACATTTAAAAATAAGATTAATTTACTTTTTATAATTAATAAATGAAAATATATTTTTAACATAATTTGGCTTATGACTAATATTATACAAATAAGAGAAATATTAATACGAACTTCAGTTGAATACACTAAATTAATTTATAAATTTTTAATTGATAAACTTTTACAAAATTGAATATCAATTTTAAGAAACATGATATAAAGATATTTCTTAATTATATATTAATAATAATATTTTTCAAATTGCAAATTACTTCAGTCTTTGGAATTATAGTTAATAAGCTATTTATAGAGAAATTAAAAACTTTATTCTTTACTATCAAGTCTGAAGTGAAAAAGAGCAAACTTTAATTATTATTATAACAAGTCTTAAAGATATCTCAAGGTGTCATAATAAAACAATTTCTAATAAAATTATTCAATCAATTTAAGAAGATAAACTTAAATGTATTTTGTGAGTTACAAATAATATAGCATATATAGTAAGTAATAAAAAAGGTGCTGTAACTTTTTTTAATAAAAATCTGACATAAATACTTTTTGTATTAGTTGTGAGATTTATATTATGCAAATTATATTTAATCACTTTGAACAAACAGCATTTGGTACACTTTCAAATTCTACTAGTTTCTCTTAAAAATTATACCTATATAATCTTTTATATTTAGCATAAAATTTATATGATAGCTACAATTCTAGCGATAGAAATAAATCACCTAACCTTAATGCATCAATAATTAAGAAATTATATGATAGATCAATGGGATTTCATTATAACCAGTACTAATTATCACTTCATTCTCATTGGGATTATGAATTACAGGTAGTCAAGTAATATTTGAATTATTGTAAAGCTCATATTTTATTTGCTTATTAATTTATTATTTAGCTAAAAAATTATAATAATACACCAAAAGTATATTTGAATAATTAGTGTTTTTTGAATTATGGTTAACTAATTTAATGCTTAAGATTCAAATAAAATGTTTGGTGAATTTTGTAGAATATTTCTATAAGCTATTAGTACAGTTTATGGTAAAGTAAGATCCATATTTATGTATAATACAAAATAAACAATTAGCTTAATTACTCTGTAAAAAAGAACATACAAGATGTCAGATAAAGTTTATGAATAGAAAACTTATCTTGAAAACATTAAAATAATATAGAAATGTTTTTTACTGATGAATTATCAGAAGCTTTTAAAATATTATCAAATGATGAATTTGAAGAGTTATTCAATAATTTGGAAAATGGAATTAATACAACTTGTAAATATTTTGAAAAATGGTTGGATACATGGTTTCATTTATCCTTAGAAATTTGCCATTTAGGTGAAGATTATGCACATTCATTTGCTAATAGTTTCGCGTTATAATCTTAAAAAGAGAATGGAAGAAAATACCTACAGACTTAAAATTGAGATTTGCAAAGGACTTAGAAAATGATATTAATAGTGAAAACAGCAATACTTTTGGTTTACAAGAAATATTATTAAATGATAAAGAATTTGATAAAGAATTTGAGGAATTTTGCAATGCTGTTAATCTTACATTATATGAATTTCCTTTGCTTTATAATTTTGTCAAAACACATATATATTTTATTATTATTCACCAACAACAGGTTGAGGGATTTTTTAATAAATTAGATTTAAAACTCATGCAAATATGTCATTATCATTTAAACAATCAAAACTTCGCTTGGCTTCAAACAAGATTGAAAAAGATAATCTGAAAGTAAATCTTGAAGAAGTATATGCTCAAAAAAGAAAACAAAGAAATATTCCACTTCAAGAAAAGCAACCATTTGGAGAAAAATAAAAATACTAATATTTAGTATATATTTATTAGCAACTTTTTATCATATAATACGCATAAAATAAAATTAGGAAAATATAATGGACATGCGACTCAAAAGAAAAATATAATGGGAACAATATTTATTGTCCTCAATAGTAAAAATCACGTGGGTACATATATAGGTTTGATTTTATTTTCAGAATGCTCCGATCGTCCTTACACGTCATGTAATTAAAGAAATGAAATTATTAAAATTTGATTCTATAAAAAGTCAGATCTTGATCTTTTTCATAATCTTTTGCCTCGATGGTATGTATCGTTTGCAATATCAATGAAAACAACTCGTTTTTCATAAGTCTTACAGAATATTTAAAGCATTATTGATTTCATCATGACTGTTGTGTTTCTGTAATCAGTTTAAAATTCACTTTCATGTATCCATTCCTAATCTATTTTTTTTTAAGTATTTTCGTTTTAGAGATTTTTTCCGTAGTGACGCATAAACTGTAGAATCATTTGCGTGTCGAGTATCACCACGTTTAAAACTTTTTTTGGATTTATATAAGAATTCCACGTGCTGTTGAAGTTTCATAACACAATGCGGATTAATTTTTCAAATAAAGAAAAACACCAATAGTTGGATTTAAACTTCAGAACATATTGATTAAAACACAAGAAATATATTTCTTTTTAAACAGATGCCTGAGATTTCTTTATTTCTACAGTTTTGCTATTATTTCAGAGACACAACTTTTAATATTCAATGATAAGTGAATCGCCAAAATCACTCAATCAAAGCTCTATGAAATAGTTAATAGAATACAGTCAGTTCAAGAAACTTGAATTTTCAAAAACGGTTTGGAGTAGTATTTCGGCATTCATATTTTTTTTCAACTAAACATTAACGAAAATAATGAAATGCATAAATAAACAGGCGAATGAAATCTTAATCTGTACATTAGAAAACGGAATGAAGAAAATGAAAAAGGATGAGAAGGATGAGTCTAACTGATCAATTTTTTAACCGACCAATTGACTGATTATTTAATATAATTTAAAGTTTTTATTGAACCAAATATGATAATTTTTTTTAATTATTTACTTTAACATTAAAATTTCCTTGATCTTCTTGATTATTTGATATGCGGATTTTTTTTTATTTTGAAAAAATATTTTAATATATAAACTAAAATGGTTGTTAATTCACTAAATAAACCATTGGTCAACCGAAAAGACAACTCATCAAGTATTAAAAGCGAAGAGAAAGAAAATTGACGTGGAAATTATTGTAAGCATTCTAAACGTTCAACAAAATGACTCGTCACTTGGTCTAGTCTGTAACTTTAGAAAAGTGAAATTAGGTAAGCTGTTATATTTCAGAAAAAAACTGAATGATCTGTATAGTAAAGATGACCTGCGTCTATTACATGGTTAGAAATATGATTTTCCTGATGACGAAACAATTTAGGTTAATTCATACTCATAAAAAGGTTAACCTGTCAGACTGCAAGTCACATTTATCGCTTAATCTCATAAACTTTTGAAGCAAAATTCTTTATAATCGATTTATAAATTTATAACTCTTGCGGTACAGGATAATTCATGATCACGAATATGCGTAAGCTTTAGCTGTGATAAATAAGCGAAGCAGCAATAAATTTCGAGGTAATTAACATAGATAAAAATCACGTAAGACAAATGAACTTAATATAATAGAAAGTATATAATAACTGGTTCGTAAAAACCAAGTATTGTATGTATGAAAAAATAAAAATGAAAAAAGCGTCTAAAATCTAAGTTTCAATATCCGGAAAAACTGACATCACTATCATCAAATTCCTCGGTGAAAAAAAAAATAGAATAGGACTTGATACGATAGTACTCACGCTCTGGTGAGCGTGAGTACCAAATAGCTTGATACGATAGTACTCGCGCTCTCTTGTGAGCGTGAGTACCACGAAATCCAGCACCAACGATAATTGAATCATCCTATAAAATTTTTATAAATTAATAAATTTCTTAATTTAAATTATAAAAAATATTTTCATTTATTTAAAACTTACATCGATGCTGGATTGATACGTTCTTGTAACGACCTTTTTGTTCAATTGAGAGTCGTTGTTTATCATCCTATAAAAAATATGTAATACATTTCTTAATTTAGATTCTAAAAAAAAATAACTCATTTATTTAAAATTTTTTAACTTACATCGATACTAGATTGATAATTATTATCGTTATTATTTTTTCTTTTGCGAACCATTGTTTTATTTATTATTATAAAGTAAAAAAAAAATTCTTGGGAATTTATTCAAGAATGTGTGTATGTCTTTTTCTTGACTGTGTTTATATCTTATCTCAACGATGTCTAGCACGTGACTAAAATTGTATTTATCAATATATCACAATGATGCGTTATTGTTTTCAGCCCCTTGAATGAAAAATGGTTTCTGATAAAGAAAAAAAGATTCTGATTGATAACACATACAGATTCCGATAAAAAATTTTCTCGCTGATACGTTTCATATGTTAGCTGCATAAATAGTGATGTACAATTCGAAGCCTCTTGATAATAAAAGTAAATATGGTGAAATTAAATCACTTTGGTCGGGGAATTTGCAACCGTAATTTCCAAATTTTACATCTCATTTATTTTTTATTATTAATTGAATTAACGATCTTTTTAAATATTGGCAGCAGCCATATTTATTAATTAGACTAAATTTGTAATTGTAATATCTTTCAATGAACATCCTAAATTATCTTGCTGTAGGGATTAAAGATAAACCGGTTTAAAACTGGTTATATAACCGAATTGATTCAGTTCATTTTTAAGATCAATGATATATAAATAAAATAAAATAAAATTACAAATAAAATTAATTACTAGGGAAACGGTAACCGTTATGAAGTCCGGAGCTTATAAAAAATTTATATTTCGATATATTTTAAGTTTTCGTTACAAAACTTTTTTTTAAAAAATTTAAAACATTATCAGTTTATGCGATGAACCAATCAAACTATCGACTCAACTGATAAGCGGGCGGATAGCGGGACATTCATATATAGTAAAAGTATGCTTGCTCTTAACCAGATATAGATTAGTCAATAACCAGTGATATGCATCCAATGGCATAAAATTGGATTGGGAGCTTTCGATCCGAATGGGTTTATTAGAAAATTATACTTCCAAACCTTCTAAAGAACTTCTAATGATGCTTTTCAATTTTCCAAAAGCATATTACTGTTGATCCTAAACATCGTGGTAAGCTTCATTTAAAAAAAATTTTTTTTTATTAGAAAAAAATTATAAAAAAAACTGAATGTGAAAATATATGAAATTAATGGAGAAAATAAAATAAAAAAAAAATGAAATAATTGAAAAAAGTAAAAGTTTATAATTTCATTTAAATAAAAAAAGAATAATACTAGTTGAAAAAATAAAAGTTTAAAATTTTGTTTAAAAAAATAAAGTATGATAATAGTAAAAGTTTATAATTTTTAAAAAAATTTATATAAAGGTTTGTTGATAACAAAGCAAATCTTTATAAAGAAGAAGGATCAGAATAACATGAAAAAATAAAGGATAAGTAAAATAAGTATTTAAGTTTTCTAGTAAAATAAATATTAAAATTAGGTTAAAATAAATATTTAAATTTAAATAATCAAATTTATATCATTCTAATTTAGCTCACTTTCTGTCTTTTACTTGAGATTTAAAAACAAAATTTGAATTTAATTAAATTTAATATCAAAATAAAAACATTTTTAAATACTTATCAAATTTATTTCAAAAAGGAATTTCAAATTATTTTTGCTAATTTTATTCCTTCTTTTTATATTTATTTTCAAATAAACTGTTTTGTATCAAATTCTTCTTTTGAATTTTTCAATAACTTTTTTTAAAAAAATCATTTTTGATTTCTTAAGCATAAATTAATTTTTTTTATTCCTACTTTTTTTTCATCAATTAATATTTGAATTTTATTATTATTCTATAAATTTAATAAATTTGAAAAATGAATAAATGTAATTTTTTAATAATTAAAGAAAAAAAAAAAAAATTTTATTTATTTATATATAAAATTATATTAATATATATCAGAAATTTGCTATTTATAAATAAGTAATTCTATTATATATAATTCTATTTACATAAAATTATCTAATAATTATAATTATAAAATTACTAAATTTTCATTTTTAAAAGAAATTAATTTTAACAATAACATTTCAATAATAATTATTAAATCATTAATAATTACTCCTTAAATTTATCACCAATTAATCTTATAGAAAAAATATTTTAAATACTTAACAATTTTTTTAAATTTGTATTTTTAATTAAAATAATTTAATTTTATTATTTAAATTTATATTTAATTTGTATTTAATTTAAATTTTATTAAAATTTATTTTTTTGAAAATTATTTAAATTGATATCAAAATTAAAATATTATTTTAAAGATAAGTTATACTAAATAATTATTTTTAAATATATGAAATATTAAATTCTTATTAAATATTTTACTTAATATATTAGATAACAAATTTATTAATAAGAGATATAAAATGATTTAGATTTTGATTTTGATTTTGATTTTGATGATAATATAAATAAACTATTTATTTCTAAATCATTAAAAGAAAATAGCATAATTATATTTAATATTAATAAAAATAAAAAAAAACTACTTTAAATATTTAAGAATATATATATATAAAGCATAATATTATAAATAAAATATAAAATAATTTGTAATTTGTATAAAATGAATATAATCTTAAAATATTAATGTAAACTTTAATAAATCATATATTTAAAGAATATAAATATAATATTTCAATTAAATAATAAAACAATTTTATTTTATTCAAAAATTTATATAATAAATTTAATATAATAAGAATTAATGATTACATAAATACTACTATTGATTTTATTATTAGATTTTAATTTTTAAATTATAATTAATATAATATAATAATATAATTTAACATAATTATGGTCTGATGCAAAAAGATTGATACACAAAGATCGTCACCTGATTTTCTTGTATTACACAAAACTTCACAAACCGAACATATGATTATATAAATTACAGATAAGG